TTTAGGTACTGATCCTTTGCCTGGTTTTCAAATATACTTTTCTCCTTTTTAAAAACATTTTGAGCGGTCTCTTTTGGATTTTTGGGTTAGATTGTGTCCCAAGGCAAAGTGTATTTCCAGCCATGAGGTCTCTTGAGGAATATAAATAGCAGGAAATATTTTAAAAGAATATATTAAAAAAATCTGGGGCCCAAAAAGAACAAAAACCAAAAAACCCACAACCAAAACTGTGAAATAAACATGAAATGTGTAGGATATATGCATGTACCAAAACATTTTTATAATGTGTGTAGACGGTGTCCTTCAAAAGTTTTTTCATATATCTTACAAAAAGTATGAAACAAAAAAAAAGAATGTTACTATAATTTACTCAAAGGCCATACCAAATAAGCCTTCAACCCTCTACTGAATAAGCTTTTTGTGCACTGATACACAATAATTCATAGTTACCTGCTCATGGTGTTATTACCATTATCTAGTATTGTTTTGTATTGCAGTTAGCACCCAAAATGTTTTAATCGCATACAAGAAAAAAAATTTACCAACGCAAAGAGCTTAGCGTTTGGTAACAGCAAGGGTCAAGAGATGAGAACTGCTGTGAAAGTTGCAATGCAGAGAAATGCATAAAGTGGCAGAAAAATGCTGGAGTTTTTTGTACTCTTCATTACAAAAGTAACAGATTTTTGTACTAAACTGCTGTTGATGTCAGGGTTCATGGGTAAGAATTTTCCATTTCTCTCAGCCCTTCTTCCAACTTGATTAGGAGAAAGACTCCTCAGACAAGTCAAGCACTTTGTTTTCTTCCATTCTTTTTTCATCCCTTTCTCTTAAACCTAGCTATATTTGCTATGTCTGATCACACTGCTATCCAAGCACACTCTGCAGACAGAGAAGCTCTGTACATTGCATGATTGTCATCTAACCACCAACATCTCCCCAGCAATTGACCTGAAATCCCAGGACCGTACTCAGCTGCTCCAGTCCTCCTATTATGGTGAAAATCTCTCTTCACCTATTTTCAGTTCTGCAATCTTCAGTCTTCTCCTTTTGCATGATTTGAAAAATGCAGGAGCTGGTCCTATGGTGGAAAAATATGCTCTGCAGAGTAATTACTGTAATTCAAGTTGATTTCATCTGCACAAGGACTTTTATTGTCTTATGCAGTTTGGGAGGATTTGGGAGGCCTACACTCCAAAGTCTGTAGGATAGCCATCTTATAGATGTTAAAGGTGCGACACGTGTTCAGTTGCTGCATATATTGGGTAGCAGAGTTTTTGGCATCATAGGCACACAGATATAAAGATGGAATACAGACTCCACTTTCTCATGAATAAGTCTAGCTAAGATGTATACATAGGAAAAGCATTATATAGCTTTCCTATTTCCCTTTATTAACTTCGCCCTACATACTTTCTTGAACCTCTAAGCATTTTTTCCCTTGTGGTTTTGTATAGAAGTGCATAAGATTGCAGCAGGTACCCTTTTTTGACCTTTCTATTTTTGAGATCTTTCACCTGACACACAAAAAGGGAGATTTTAAAAGACTTCCTATGAAGACAGCCACACAATGGCTTTAAAATTAGTTAGATCTGTTAACTCTATCAAATCATGAGCTCAGTCTAGTTTTTCCTTTCTCTCCCTTTCAGTTTTCAGTCAGCTAGTTACTTCTCTTCATCTCCAAAAGTGGTTGTTTGTTGTTCTTGTACTGTTGCAGCCACTGCTGTTGTTCCAGGATTGAATTTGGCAGAGGAAAGGAGCCTGTGTTGCTTGGGCATCTGTAAAAACACCTACCACAAAACTGTAGAATTGTATATATTCCAGTTTAAAAAAATTTGCTCTTTAACATGTATTAATAGGAGACTCCTCTAATTGACTCAGCTAAACTTCGGACCTTTCTTTATTACTTTTCTCCAACTTTGTTTATAAGTTTGCATGAGCTGAAACCTGTTTGTGTAGATTTTTGTTCTTTATTTCAGTCTTGCCATAATTTCCCCAACTGCGGTTTGGTCTTTTGCAGCGGACCTAGTGGTCCGTAGACCACAATTTGAAAAACATCGCTTGAAAAATATTTAGCCTTCGGTTCTTGTTTTGATCTTTTTATGGAGTTAGAGAATTGATGGGTCCAAGTTCATCGAGTTGCCTCGTGCATATCAGCTCTTGAGGGCAATATATTTGTACAAAAAACAGCAAAATACTTAAATTTGTTTCAAAATCCACCACTGTCTTGTCCAGCTTGTGATTTTCTGCCTAACAAAGGCCTGTAATTCCAGCCTGCAAAGTCTGTGACACTCTTACATATTCAGGTGAGATCCAGATATGCTGACTGTTGATTTTCATCTTTAGTCCACACTTGCCTGTGTCATTATTTGAGTCCCTGTGGCTGCGCAGTCCAGTTCCATAAGAGCATTTCACCTGGTCAGTTTTTGTTCTTTCCTTGTAGCCAACCCTATGGAATCAAAAAACTCTAGGTCAGGAATCCTAGGCAGTGCTCTTCATATTTCCCTTTTTTGATTTCATACAAAGGGACATAAACAGATTATTATCATCCATAAGGTCAAACAATAAACTCCCAGTAAAGCAATAGAACATGCCACGTTGAGCTACCAATGATCAAAATCACAATAGCCCTAGATAAGGTGTTCTTGCTGTGAAGGAAGTAGGAGAACCTCTTAGGACGAGTCTTTTATCTCTTGGCGTGCAATAATTTGTACGTTGTCCAAAATGTATCTTCTAGCTATTACTTTAAAACACCCAGCATATTAGAAAATCTTGATTTATGCTTCAGTGATTCTTCAGAAGGAATCTCCAGCAATCTCTGCTACAGTTCTGTGGGTAGCGACCCTTCCTACCAGACGAGAATACTTCTTGACCAAAAACTTACTGTACCACATGCCCAATGTGAATATTAATTGTTCAGATCCAATTTTTAAAAGCATGTATTTGTTTAAACAATTTGAAGTTGGTCATGAAGATTTTCTTCAGGTGTCTGGAACTTCTTATTTAATTTATTGTTTATTTATTGTCTCCCTCCTACAGTAGGGTAATATGAGTTGCTCAAAATGGTCTTGCAGCATATTTGAGTAAATGTTAGGATTACTCCAAATAGACGTTTTAAAGTTCAAAACAAGCTCATGTTTCTCTTAGAAATATACATGAATTATCCACAATGCATCTGTTCAGCATACCAATCTTTCTAAGTATTTCCCTTAAAAAAGGAAAAAAAAAACCCTAGAAATAAAGGCAATTGCTTATGTAAGCAATTTCAAAGTTAAATATTCTCTTAGAAGTACTTTGGATGGAAAACAGTTGCTTGTTACTGCGTGATTAGTCCACTGAGGTTAATTAGCGAGCTGTTCAGGTTTTGGAGGAGCCAAGAAGCAATGAGAAGTTATCCAAAATTTGGATTGAATTATTCTGTCTCTTGCAGGGACTTGCAAATGGAGTTTACAAATTTCCAACCAAGCAGAGAGTGGTATTGTTTTTTTCTTTAGAAAATTGCTGTTTGGAAACAATTTCAGCAACACATTACAATGCTATGTTGTAGTCATGAGCTACCAAGTTATCATTGGTAAGTGATCCTTCACGAGTCAAGAGATGGATGTTCAATTGCCCACTTCTGGGATTCTCGTTTTGCCCTGTGTTTAGTCTCTAAGTCGGGGCCCATTTTCCAGGCTTACCGTCCTTTTGACTCATGTCCCATGGATCATTCTCGCTGATGAAAACACACTCTGTGTGAGGAGAGATTCTCCATGTATGCACGTCAGGCATATGACAAGTCTCGCTGTAGGCAGCACGCGTGGGACAGATTATTGCCAACAGTTCGTGGGGAAGGCACGAAGAGAGTGCTGTTGGCGGGATGTGTGCATGCTACTGCTCAGGGTGCCTTGGTGTGGAGGGCATGCGGGTCCTACAGGGAGGCACTGAGCTGTGGCTGACCAGGCAGGAATGACCAGGGGCTGCCAGCCTGGAGCCAGGAGAGCTGGGAAGCAGCTTGCTTGGGATAGCGTGTGCTGGGAGGAGGGAAATACAGAGTCTGTTCCTAGCTCTGCCCTTGATGTAAGATCTTAGCTATGTCCCGTGTCCCCCCTTGTGACTCTTCCTTCCTGCCTTATCTCTCTGGTGTCTTCTATGTAGCATTTTGAGCTTTGCAGCTGTCTTTCAACAGCTGTTTACCTAGAGCTTCTAATGCAAAGTGTGAGTTTCAGCTGAGCTACAGAGTTAGAAACCACCTTGTCTTGCCTGTCCATCACTGTTACTCAAGTATTGAGGGTTGGGACAGGCTTAAGCAGAGGAGCTTGGCTTGGATTTTTTTCTTCAATCTTGTTCTGTTTTCATAGCACTGTGTTCAGTTCCCAACAGCTGTGATGAAAAGAGATGGTGAGATAATTACAGTACAGACTGGTGTGTGCGACATTACTATGAAAAGATAGGAAAGAGACGCTGCACAGTATCTTTTCATTACTTCATATATTTGCTAGTAACATATATTCAAGAAATTTGATCTTTGCGCTGGCTGAGCTCCTGTCCTGGAAGACATGTCCTGTGTTTCGCCACTGGCCCTATCACTGTTGGTGCGCCTGAGCGGCATTGAATTGGAGGTTTGTGTTCTAATAAATGAAAAATGTGCAAATAATTAGCAATGTGCTTTACTCAATCTCTGCTTATTGGATTGCTTCTGACCTCACCTGAACTGCTGCCATTGACAGAACTGAAACTGTGTGTGTGAGAGGAGACAGACTGAAACCAGTGGTGCATTAAATCCAACATTAATAGTATGTGTGCAAAGAATTGTCAAAAGGACTGGTAAATTATGTGTTCAGAGGGGCCTTATGCAGTTAGGACAAAGAATGTCTCAGTGTTCTCAGATCAAGAAATGAGGCCTTTTTGTTCTTCTCCAGGAGGCAAGCAGCACCAAGGCCTGTGTTGGCGGTTTGCTTGCTCCAGACTCTCAAAGTATGCTTGGTCTGCAAAATTTTTCTCTCTTCTATTTTATTCCCCAGTTATGAATTCCACGTGAAACCTAGAAACCCTCTTGGTGAAGGTCCAAGTAGCAATGTTGTGGCATTCAGTACTGAATCGGGTAAGAACTTCCAAAGCTCTGATCATCATTGACAGTGGCTCTAGCATCCATGTTTGTGGGATATATGAAAGGCTCTTGCGTCATTTTGCATGTTTGCTCTCACTCTTTACTGTCTCCAGGCTGGCTTTTTATTACTGTGCGTGTTGCCGTAATGCCTGGAAGGTCAGCCTGAGATCAGGGCTACGTTGTGTGAGGATGTCAGATGGCCAGACTGCAGGGGAAAAAAACAGGAGCACAAAGAGTTTGTCTGGTGTTCATTGTGAAGAAACTAACTTTACCCTTAGAGAAGGCTCAGTCATTTAAGATGAATATTCGTGACCTTTTTGAATCTGTCAAACTCATTAATGACGTCTGGATGGGGAACGTAAGGTTTTTCTTTGGGCTGGCGTGTTTAGAGGCACTTGTGCTACCTGTTCAATAAGGCTGCTGTGTGATAGTGATGTCTTTTGGCTGAAATAAGGATTGAGAAATAGTGGCTGGGAAAATGTCCCGGTACGTCCACTTCCATCGTGTTTACTCTCCTGTGAAATTGTTAAAGAGGTGTATACAAGCCTGTTTTGACCATTGGTTCATTCCCAGGTGAAGTCCTATCTGACTCAGAGGTGTGAATCAGAGTGCCTTTGCTTTCCCTATTCCAGTTCCCCATGAGGCTAACTACAGTTGACTTGTTGACTTTATACAAGCAAGATACCATCTTTTGTGTAGATGTGTTTATTGCTTGATAGTACTTAAGGACCAGATAAAACACAAAATGGATTTAGCCTTTTTAAAAGGACTTTCTCAATCTGCATTTTGAGCCAGGTGTAATAATGTAATAGTCCCCACCTAGTGCTGTCACTGATGGATGAGAGTTTTGGCTGAGCAAGGGATTAGTCAGGGAGGAGTTCAGACTATGCCACACTTATTTAAAAGCTGTGAATACGCTCTTTGTAATCCTAGATTGTTAAAAATGAACAAACGTTTATGCCAAGTGCAGTTTTCATGAATGACAAGGCTTATGTTCTGTCTCCTATTTAGCTTGGACAAATTAAGCGGTCGGTTTTATTTTTTCTTAATTGCACACATCCATTTCTTGCTTTTGGGCTTTCATAGCCAAGTTTTGTGTGGCAAGTATTACAGAGGGCTCCTTTTTATTACTTAAGTTTAAAAATTTAGATTTTACAAAAGATGCGGTAGAATTGATTTTTGCTGTTTACAGGTTTTAAACTCTTGCTGTTACTAGAATTGTGTTTCACTGGTATTGTCCCATAAATAAAAATTTTAAAAGCCCATTGATACTGTAGTTTCAGATAAGAAATATACTTCTTTTAATTTAATACAAAAAAAAAAAGAACTTTGCTTCCAAAGTCTTTCTGTTTCACAAATTACAGCTTATGTCAACTGTAGAAAATCACTTACCAATGCTTTTCCATTGAAATATTGGGAAATTCATTTTACAGTGTCTGATTGAATGTTTGTTTTCTTCCCTCAGCGGACCCAAGAGTGAGCGAGCCAATTTCAAGTAAGTCTTTTATGCATAGTATAATGTCTTCTGATCCAGAATTTTTCAGAAATGAGATAGCATAATTTTATGAGGAGGGTGGCTGTACTGTACCAGTTAAATGAGTTATGGAATCAAACGGCATTTGCACATGACTTCACTCCTTCCACCCATACCCCTGGTAAGAAATTCATGCCAGGCTGCTTGTTTACCTGAGCGGAACGCAATCAACGTGATGTGGCGCTCCCGTGGCAGCTGGGATGGCTTCAAACCAATGTACACAAGCGAACCAAGGACAGCCTCATATTTTCTCAGCCTTGTCATTAAAGCAAAAGCAAGCTCTGTGAAACGAGTAAGTTACTCCACACTTTTTAAGTGAATCAACAGAGCACAACTCGGAGAGCACTATTTGTCTGCCATTGTGTTTTAGAAAATAATTCTCCTTCTGAAGGCTTGGTGCAGCTCTGCCTTATGCCACTTACAAGACTCTTGCTGTCTTCAGTGGGAGGTGGACTGAGCTTTTGAGGAACAGCTGAGGTCGCTCAAGCAAATTGGGCTGCTTTGTGTGTTTGTAATGGACATCACTTCGACAAACACTGAGGCACCATTTCTTTCCACATACTTCATGACGCTTAACTTTTATGTGTATTTTTGTTCAATCACATACAGTTTGCTGCAAGTTGACTGTCCTGGATTGAACCCGCTGAAAAACAGTGACTGTTTCACGCACTTTGTAAACGAGAGTTTTGCCAACACACAGACATTGTCCCCCTAACAAGGTCCCAGAATGAGCTTGTTCCAAACCAGTGCCACAGACAGACAGCAGAAGCCGCTCACTGCATCAATCGTATCTGCACCCTTTGGTGCTTCCCTGAAGTATCTTTCATGTTCAAAATGCAGGTGACTGGTGCTGTGGTGCATTCTGCTCCATCAAGGTTTCTAATTCTATTTATTTGAGTATATTTGTTGAACATAATTTCATATTCAGCTTCATACTTCAGCCTCTTTCTTCCTCTCCTGCAGTGGGAAAGGACGCTATCTGGACTGAAATCCCATTCAATTCAGACTCCTATTCAGAATGCAAAGGGAAACAATACGTAAAGAGGACCTGGTATAAGAAGTTCGTAGGTGTGCAGCTGTGTAATTCTTTGAGATACAAGATATACCTCAGTGATTCACTTACAGGTGAGAGACATTCAAATCAGTGTTGTTCACATTATATACTCCTTAAAGAGATCATGGTTCCGTAACTAAGAGGTTTAACAAGAAAAGCTCCGCTGAAGTGTGATCAGGTCTGTTTAATCTAGTCCACAGACAGATTAATCATAAACAGTAATCTGGTTGTGCTCAGTAATCATTGATGTGTTTGATACCAAATTTTCAGACTCCAGAGTTACTTCTCTGTGGTGATCATCTCATTTTTAGTATCTGTTAGTATCCTGGAGGTTGTGCAGAAAACTGACAAAGATCAGGTCTCTGCCAGTGAACAGTATATATTGTAACGGTGCCAAATTTATATTTGAAGGATAGCCTGGAACAGTTCTTAATTAGAGGATTAGGGCCTAATTTTAGACCAAGATTAGACTCAGTCATTCCCATCCCATCTGGTAAACATCTGGTTACTTCGTTACCGTGAGGCTTACAAATGCATGACTTCAACTCTAGTCAACAGGTTTTACTCACCTGCTTTGACATTTTTGTTTTCACATTCCTCATTTTTGCTTGTAATCTCTTTTCCCCCCTTCTTTTTCTTATATTATATTTTACTACTAACAGCAGCCTGCAGGCCTTATCTTCTCAAGTCTTGTTCTGTGTCTTAAGGTCACTAGAGTGTGATGTATTTAAGACCTGAATCAAGTGAGACAAAGTATGTGTAAACTGGGGAAACAGCCTGTGAAAAGTGTTTTTTGATTAGTTGATAGTTAAGCAGAACTTTCTGTCTGACGTAGATTGTACAAGCCATATTTAGAACTATCTTAACTTCTTATAATCCATCCCCAGCTCCTGGCTTTCTTCTGTATGGGGTCTTCCGTCAGAGCTGCGTGGACAGCTCTATGACGGTGGCGTGAGCACGGCATCAGACCCCAAAGAGTGCGATACGGCTGCGTACGGGAAACGCCTTTGGAGTGCGGGTTAGGCAGTACGCTCGTCACACCGGATTGAAAAAACTAGGAGAAACCGTGGCTGAAAGAATCAACCTCCATAACCCAAAGCTGCCCCATCTCAGAGCTGCACACCTCCCAGGAGCAGGGCTCTGGTCTCTGTGGGGACGTGGAGAGCACAGAGCAGGGCAGCATAGGGCAGCCCGTGCCGAAACGGTTATAAGCTGCCCGGCCTTGCGCCCGGCACCATTCTCCCATGAGCAGACAAGGAAGGAAAGCCCTGTCATTAATAGTGAGTAACAATACCTCATATGTAAATAATATCTTGGCAATTAGGTGAATAAAAGAGACTGTTTGAACAGAGGTATCATTCATTCCACTGCTGCTGCGCTGACCAGCTGGGATCAAATGACAAACACTGGCAGTGAGGCACGGGGTATCACAAAAGCAGCCAGCAGAGGAAATGGCAGCGCTAGTCTAGCAGGACGGGACTTCGGCCCTAAATCAAATGCATTAACACTGCAGTGAAAGCTGCTTCAATCTCGGAAGAGAAGTTTAATATATCACGAGCCCATTTTCCTATTTTCATTAGATTGTTTTTGTTCTTGCTGGAAGGGTGGTGATTTAACTTGGCTGGAGGAAGCCGGTGGTAGCCACATTGTATTCATTATACTTGCTAAGCCTGGTTCTTGCACTTGAATTGTTACAACCAGTGCTGACCATTTGTCACAATATTTGAAAGAAGTGAAATATTTATGTAGAAAGAGAGCTGGTTTTCCCCCATTTCCCAAGTGAGACCGTCATGGCGCAGGTCTCTATATGCGAGTGAGGAAGTTTCCAGTGTGAAACCAAACTCTGTTCTGATTGATGTGTTTCACTGTCACGCCTTGTGCCCCCGAGGCCGGCGGCAGCGTGGCTGCTGGCCCCAGCCAGCTGGGCAGTGTCTGCGGGTAGAGGAGGGCTGCGCTGGGGTCCCAGTTTCGCCTTACACTGAAAATACCTGCCAAGGTTTGCTGTTTGAGCGGCGTAATGATCTTGAAATTTGGGTGCGTTGTACAAATGCCTTTGTGTCAGGCAGCCAAGAACTGTACCTTTGCATGCTGTTGTTCAGCATGAATTTATACTTCTAGTGCTGCAGAATTCACAATGTATAAAACAAAGATGGTATCTAATTTTCTGAAGACCACCCATAAGGGAACGCTGGGAAAAAAAAATTACCTTATGCTAGAATTGCTATCCCCAAAAGAGAAAGATTAATCTAGTCATTTGCTAGCTAAATGTTTTTAAGTGTGATCCTTTATTACGGAAAGAATTGGGCAGCAAGAATTTAATAGTCACTGAGAATGCACCTAATTTATGTATAGCACTTCTTGGAATTATGCATAGGTTACACTGTGGGCCAGAAGGGTATGTGTGTATCTGAAAGTTACTGTCCTTGTGTTAGCCATAAAAATATCTGGTTTATTCTGTCTCTCATGAAGAAAAACTAATCTATGTTACACATGCCAGGACTGGTCTATAAACCAGCATCTACTGCTGACCTCATTTAACAGTCCTCCAGAGCAGTCACTGTAGGCATTCCAGAAAAGCAGGCCACCTAAAAAAAAGTATTTATTGAGGGGGGAAAAAAAGAAAAAATTTCTAAGTGTGACCTTCAACAGCCATGGAAAAAAAAAGAATACTGTTTTGGGCAGCCTGAATGTTCTTCATTTCAGACCAAAAAATTGCTGAGAGAAACTCCCTCTGACCAGTTCTCCTATGGAAAAAACATGCCTGCAGCCAAACCTAGATAGTAATAAATAATTTTCTAAAGCTAGAGGAGAACTGCATGAGCAGAGACTGTCAACTGGAGGTAAGAATTTCTGGCAAAGTATTGATCAGATCACAAAAATACAAGAGAGGGAGAGTTTACTGGTAGGCTGCCCTTGCATCAGCAGTACGTGGGGAGCGGTAGGATAAGCCCTCTCGCCATCTCTCAAATGGCCAGACTGGCACGGATCCAAGGCTACAGCACACCCAGCGTCTAACGGGTGACTGGACTTTCTCCTTAGCTGACACCTGAGCACTGAGTTATTTCTAAATGCTCTCTCCTTTCCTTTCAACCTCACAACCAAAGGCTGAACAGATTAAGAACAAGTGCTGTGAAAGGAGTTTAGGAAAAAAGCTAAGTTTGTTTGTCTGACAACGTTTCCTGCCAGGGCCTGGGAAGAGAAAGCAGCAAGCTTTCCTCCACCTTCTGAACTGAATTTTACTTACGCCTTGCAAATCAAATCAGTAAGTAAAAACACCTCCCTGTCAGAACTCCTTCACTGTGAGTCCTCTTGTCAACAGGACCAGCACAGCCCCTAACGTCAGCAGGCGCTGCGTGGGGCGCCTGAGACCTTGTCTTCTACTCAGCTGCTGTCGAGTGTCCCGTTAAGCAATCCTGCAGACCAACACACGGGCACGCTTCATGCTCTGGACAAGCGGTTACTACTCCGAGGTCATCTATTTGTTCAAGGATATCACTTGCACATACATGTTGTAAAAATACGATGATTTATAAAACAGGCCTTGGCTGTGTTAGGAGGTGGTCTGTAAAAACATCTTTGAAGGTACTGGGGCTTCCTGACAGGGAACCAAACCTGTCCTCCATTCAGATCACTCGCAAAACTTTCCTCCTTTTGTTATGCATCAGGATGAGGTTCTAGGTAACAACAGAATTTCACTTTACTGTATGAAATGTAGGGACAGGAAAAAATACATTCAGGCACAGATTTTGGCCAGGAATGGGGCATTTTTGCCTGCAGCCATAGGCATGTGCTTGGAGCCCGCACGTAATGTTGAAATGACAGCGACAGACCCAGAGAGGAGGAGAATCGGAGCATTCACCTTGGCTTCCCCACGGAGCGAAGAGCACGGCCCGTTGTCTCTGGCGGTTTTTGGAAATGGCCCTTGCTAAACCGGGTATGGATTTTCAACTTTGCCGCTTCTTTGCTTTCAGGAAAATTTTACAACATAGGAGACCAGAGGGGCCACGGAGAAGATCACTGCCAGTTTGTCGACTCATTCTTAGACGGAAGGACGGGACAGCAAGAAGATCTACCAGTCAAAGATGGTAATTCCTTATGCCTGTCTCCGCGGCAGGCTTTGGCGATTCCATTGCTTGCGTGTTTCTTTTTGCTGCCAGTGGATTCAGCGCCCGCTGCTGGGGTGGGCAATGGAAAGGGACCGCTGGCTGCGCGGGCAGGAGAGAGGCGAGAAGTTTCTGAAGATGAGCAATGACTTATTAAAAGCAGGTTGTGACTTGGGTTCTGTTAGGTAGTAAACAGCCTCTCTCCTGTTTAAAGCATTCCAACAGATTATTCACAGTTGGTATTACATATTTAAACCCAACCACAAAGTGGAGTTTGCAGAGAGGCATGAAGTGTTATGTTCGAACTAGCCAGGTTGATTTGAAGTGCAGTAAATCATCCGCTGGGCATTAAACAGCTTTGTTTAGTGCTAATGAGAAACTAGTAAGTTACTGCTGGAAAATATAATTCATGCTGCAGTAACTCAGCGTGCACTGATTTGAACCGGGTGCCTGGAATTCCAGTCTGGTCTACGCGGGCGTGGGACTGGATGTCCTAAGCGCAGCTGCGCCCCGCCGGGCGACTGCAGGCGGGGCTGAGGCTCGGGCGCAAGCAGATCGTACTGCTGTCCGCGCAGCTCCTGCCCGGCTCGTTCGCAGCGGTGCCCGCGCGAGGCAGGCCGTTCCCGTGTGGGGTGAGAGCGCAGGCTGCGCTGATGCACGTGTGCACGCTGGGTGCGCCACGGAATATTTCACGGAGAAAAACATCAAAACAGTTTTCGATACAATAGCAGCGTGTTGGCCCAGCCTTCGTGGCTGTAGTGCTTCATTCATAGAACACCTGACAGCAGTACAGAAAGGCAGGGAGGTCTGGAGTATTGAAGTGTCTGATCTTTCCCAAGTTTTTTCTGAAAACAAAGTAGGTGAATGATCTGAAAGGTGTTTGCTGATGGGATGTGTGTTGGGTTTTTTTAAAAGAGGGCTTTAATTTTCCTCTCCCAGTCAGTGTTGCCCATCTGTAAAGGTATTTTGTTTGTGTGAGGGATTGGCTGAATCCAATTTGGCGTAGCCAGGACAGCAGCCCTCTCGGTCGTATCTGATTCACTTCTTAAAAAAGGCTTTATGAATAAAAAAAAAAACAAAACTTCTACACAAGAAGCTTGGACCCCAGCTCAAAAGACATTTAATATTGTTTTCAGCAAATGGATTTAAACGAGTGGATTCATGAGCTACATTCATTTTTAGGAAAAAACCCAACCCAAACCAAAAAAAAAACCACCCCAACAAGACAAACAATCAAAAAGCCCCCACCTTTTCTGTAGCTTGTATTTCTAATCAGGGAGCTGAGCAGAGGAAAGAACAGCCAGATCGGCCGTGGCTGCTCAGCTCCTCCCTGGCTGAACGCAGCAAGTTGCCTTCTGTTCAACCCAGAATTACCCGCAAGGCTGCCTGACCTGAAGCGCAGGGAGGGCACCACTGGGGCTGCTGCCTACTGGCTGCTGCCCAGCGCCTGGTGCACGTGCGCACATCTGCGGGTGCGTGCGCACGCTTCAGCCACCCGTACAGTTCGGACGCTTAGGCTGGATTCAGCACTAATTGCTCCCTTCAGTTTTTAACTTAACGTTCGTTGTTTGAGCGGGAGGAATGGGTGTTGCCATACAGAGCGGATTCACAGCAGGAGCTACAACCTTTTGCTTGGGGATGGGGAGACGGCGTGACGTACCCCCAGCTGTCAGGTTTTGCTGCGGTTCACCGGCGCGTTAAGGCCACTGCCCCTTTGCCAGGAAGAACAGCCTCCTCCGCAGCGAAGCCCCAGCACCGTCGGTGGGTGGGAGCTGGGGACACAGGTGGTCAGGGGAGGCCGGCCTCACCTCTCCTGCCCCACGCTGCAGCAGCCCACGTGCCGGTGGATGGAGGGGCAGCAGGGTGACGTGTTCAGCATTAACCGAACTGCGTACGGCCCGCCCCGGGAACCCACTGGCAGCTGCTGCCCGAGGGCTCCAGGCAAACACCGCTCTGTTCTCCCTTCCAGGATTTTTCAGGGCAGTTCGGCAGGAGCCCGTCAAGTTTGGGAAAATAGGTGGGGAGACTCACATTAACTACGTTCGCTGGTACGAGTGTGGAACGTCGATACCTGGGAAGTGGTAGATGCGACACGGACTTGGCGAGAAGGCCCAGCACGGCCCGCCCCCAGCCGACTGCCCCCGGCCGGCACCAAAGCGGCAATGTTTATGGTATGCCCGGCACGTAGATAAGTTTGCTGACGTGCAAGGGTTTATGCAAGTCTAATGCCAATACTGCATTCATTGTGTAATAGCGTAGGCTGCTTCCTGTAGTTACCCAGTTCGACAGATTTTAGATGTAAAAAAAAAAAAAAATCCCAACCAGGCTAGGGACGTATTGTAGGATAATGTATAGGGAAGCTGGCTCCCTATTCTTGAGGTACAGTTTATGCGGTATTTTAAGAGATACGGTGTGTATATTATTTATCACAATGGTGTAATAAATGTTTAAGGCACAGTCATGGCAGAGTTGGTCGTGGAACGCAACGTGCATTAGTTTTTTTAAATAGTCACTGGTGGTCTTGTAACGTGAGCGCCGTAAGCTACCTGTCCAGACAGGTCTGTCCTGTCACCCCAGTCACAAGCACAGCAGAGACCCTGCAGTTCTTAGTGACACCCTGCAGCGCTTTCTCCTTACAGCACCAACAGTTTGTCGTCCTGCCGAAACGCCGAGGCAGGCTGCTACGCGTGCAGTTGAAAGGATCTGGTTAGCGGGGGGAGGGGATGGGTGGGGGGTCCCACGTTTGTTTCCCAGTGCTTCATCTCCAGCAGACGCGTGCATCCAGCCCATCGCCACGGGCTGGCAGCAGCGGGTGGGTTTGGTTTGGTCCCCTCCAAAGCAGGGGCAGGTACAGGTGTACGTGGAATTAAAAGATGAAAGCGGCTCCCCACAGCCATGGCTTTCCGTGAAGCTGGCGATCCTGGAGACTGAGACCTGGTTCAAAGGCCAACCGTATGGACAGTGCGGGGGGACTTGGAAAGAGAAATGGAATGGGGGGGTAAAAATAAGCTGCTTGTAACAGCATGATCAGGTTTATTTTTAAAAAGAAGAAAAGCGGTTCAAAACATTGTTCATTGGGGACAAAGGGGAAATAGTGATAACTGAACTTTAAAACCGCTTTACAGTGGGAGAGGTTTTCATCAAAATTAAAGCTACCTGTTGTACTGCTTGACCATTTAGGAACTAAATAAAGAGATGTAGGTTTTTTTTAAAAAGGTGTTGTTCATCACATTACTAATGTATTGAAAAAATATGAACAGGAACACCCAGATATATATATAGTAGAAACAGTCATTTATAGAAAATGCCTTATAAAGTACATTGCAGGTACACTGTACTCCTAATAAAGTATTTTTTAATCAAGTGTTTTTCTGAAGTGCTTTACATGAAAACAAAGCCTTGTTTCTGGGGCAGCGGCTGTCAGGCCAGGCAGGGGTCTGCGCTGCAGCAGGCAGGCACGCAGCAGCGCGACGCACCCCCGAGGCGCTGGGCCTGCCGAGTGGGGGAGCAGCGACACCAAGGGCTGCCACAGGTAGGAAGGGTGGCACGCGCTTTGGTTCCTAATTTGTCTTTACGAGAGTTCAAGCAGCTTGCTCCCCTTCACTTTTTTTTTTTATCGCCTACTTAGTATTCCTAGAATCCGTAAGATGGAAAATATTCACCGGGAGAAGGTTTTGCCCTGCGCTGTTGGATGGCCTGCTGAATTTGTTACAGCCCTTCATCTGCTTTTTCTTGGCTCAAACTCGAGGCGCTTGAGTTGCACTCCCAGTTTTTCTGGGTGGCAGAGAACCTGTGGAAAGTTGTTCCTTTGAAAAAATTACATTTTTGGCTCAAATTTTCAAGCAATAAACCAGTTCTCCCCCTGCCCCTGTTAAAACGAAACCGGGAAGGGGTTCTGAGATTTTACATATGGGTTCTTGCCCAGCAGTAGAAGAGCTCCCTGGCAATCAGTAAGAGCAGGCAGCGCACGGCCATCGGCTGCTGCACAGCCGTCTGCGGGCCCAACTCTTGGCCACCAACGCATCCAAAACTCTGCCTCTGCTCCTACAACCCCGAGCGCCGCTCACCTTCCCCTCGGTGCCTGCTTCTCTTCACCCCACTTTCTTGCTGCTCAGCATTACCCAAATTCTAAAATCACGGTCAGGCAAACAGTCGATTCAGGGGGTTTATTAGTTTTCCAGGTGAGCATTACAATTTATAGTACATCATCTAGCTAGCTGTACCTCCAGAACGAATCTAATTTAGTACATCGTCATGGCGTTAGTGAAAACAGGCCTGGTCCGTGGGCCGAGCTTCCAGCCAGCGTCTTCGCGTCCTCCCGTCCACCGACGCCACGGACAGCAGGCAGCGTTTCCCCGGAACGACCCAGCCCCGAATTAAAGGAGGAAGCGTACACAATTTCAAGCAGGA